GGAGATAAATCTGATTTATGGTTTTGGAATATACTGTATTATAGTTTCTTCAACAATATACTGCATTTAGACTTAGTCTTAGACAAAATTTACTGCTCCACAAGGGAAATTACTTAGACAGACATCTTCTTTTTTTTTTTTTGACAAGCCAACTGCTGACAGAGACAGGAGATAGCAAACTCCTTCTTCTTCTGCCTACAATTCTCCACGGACCTTCCTCTCTCCAAAAATCAGAATTTACTCTACTGTACTTGGAGCACCTTCAAACAGAACATGTACTTCAGCCGCATCTGGAAAATTAGCACAGTGCCACATGATTCAAGGCGAGGGGAAAAAGATATGTGGTAATTGAAGGGATCGCCGCGCTGGTGGTTGTGTCCTAGTATGACGGCATGATTGGTGTAGGCTGTAAGCATTTTTTACAACGTATGACTCACCGGCGCTGTAAGGCAAAGGATGCAAGCCCGGTCACATTTGGGAGATTGCGTAAAAATAAAAGCTGGAGACCTATAAAGATGTGTAGGAAAGGAAATGGCCCGTGTCAAGCAGTGAGATTACGTCATGCATGGCCTTCAGGGTGTACAAGGAGATAGATGAACCAACATAGGAGCTTGCCAAAAACTTAAAGGCCCATATTATAATGTTACCTGGAGTAGTGTTTTGTTACATTCACACATTTAACACACAAACCCTGCGTGTTTAGACTCACTTCATGCACTTTCACTCGAATCATTTGGATAATTTCAGCTGGAATTGCCCATCTCTGCTGAACAAACGGTAAAAGGTAGCGGTAAAACTACTAAAACGCATCATGAAATCACAAGATGGAGCAGAGTATTTTGAGCTGTGGAGATGCAGACAGACTAATAAAGCAGGATTACTCAAACATGTGCACATTAGCAGCTTTTCTACACACAAAGACTTGATCATTTGTATTTTGCAAAGGAGATTACGTGAGCTAATTAATGGCAATCCTTGTGAAACTATTCAGATGGCGATTTTGATTCTACAATGACGTACAGTATCTTGAAGCCCTATTGATAAGAGGCAAGAAGTGTTCCTCGTCAACTCTCGCCTTATAAATTCGAAGGACACGTTGGTCTGTTTAGTCTGTCATTACGAATTTGTTTATGCTCCTTGCCACGCGCTGATCTCACTGGGTTTGCTATTGAGGAGGGAGGGGGGAAGGAAGGGTAGGGGGGGTAGGTGAGTGTGAGGGGGAGGGGGTAGGTGGATGCGGGGGAGAGGTGGGGCTGGTGACCTCGGGGGCACGTCTGATACCAGGAGTCTGTCCCTCCAGGCTATTCTTATGCACCACATTCGGTGCGTTTACATGCGGCGCTAAGGCAGACTGCGCTCCCACACTTAACGATAAGATTACAGGTTTTCATGTGGAATAACAAACTCGAGAGCTACTTTACTCAGCTAACGTGCATTGTCTTTTAATGTAGAAGCCTTACATGAAACAAGCCGTGTGCTCTTTGTGGCAGTGCCAAGATGGTTAAATTGAGATGGTTGACTGATTATATCCGTGGTTTTCAAAAATATGTGAATATTAAGATTGTTGCAATTGTAATTAACACATTAAAATCTATTTTATGATAAGATCTGAATGGAAAAAAGTCTTCAAATTTTAAAACAAGAGGCAAAATTGAGAGATGCACCAATCAAATTTTGTATTTCCAACCAATACCAGTGCAGAGACTGAAAACATAATTTACTTCATTTAAACAAAAATAAAATAAGACAGAACTGATCCAAATGTGTTACGTAGTTGATATTTATCTCTCAAGCAACTGCAAAACTTTAATACAAATTCAAACATTATGAGATTTTCTAGGCTTATTACATGAAGTTGAATGTCCTGAACCGAGATTTGGACGTCAATATCAAATTCAGCAAATTTTTCTGTAGTGGCGCCATTTTTCAGTACCAGTATCAGATCGGTAGTCTGATTCATCAGCCGGTTTCACTTCATGGAAACTGTCTGACCTCACAGCATTAGGATTCGTTTGCTTGACGGTAGATGGGTACTTTTTTATTTAATCAATCGCTGCTATTTGGTCGTGGCATATGTAATGCGCCAAATCCTGTAGGAAGAAGGGCAATAACGTCTTCGCCCTTGAAAAAATTCACCAAGCTTTCTCTTTGTTCCAGCTTTAAATCTTTGATCTTGGGAATTGTTACGAACACAGAATGTATGGCTTCATCTACATCCATCTCAACCGCTTTGTTTACTGTTGTCCCTTCACAGCTCTTCGCTGATTGGCCGATGCGTAGTCTACAACTTCTGGGGTTCTTGCAAACCATCTAGTGTATTCTGATTCCTGACCGAGTCGCTGGATAGAAATGAAATTGAGCGGAGACACTAGGTGGCGCCGGTCTGGCTGTCAGATTGGTGCATCCCTAGCAGAAGCTCACAAATACTGAAAAGAGTGATATGAGACTAAGACAATGTATGTATGTATGTATGTATGTATGTATGTATGTATGTGTGTGTGTGTGTGTGTATGTATGTATGTATGCATGTATAATATAAGTATAATGCTATGTAAGTAATTTCTCATACAGTCACTTGACAGCTTTAATAACAATTTAACCAAATCCAAAATGATTAACTACAAAAAGACATCTCCGGCAACAATCCCAAATTTGTGTGCAGATTTGTTTTACATTATCCAGGCCTCTCACTGCTTAATACAACTTTAACCTGGCTCGCGATCCAACTATGAATCACAGTATCCAGGTGTGTTCCTCTGATTAAGAATTACAGTTTCGCCAGCCACTCCAAAATCTAACTAGGCCATAACTTTTGCTCGTACACACAAACTTTAAATTGATTTAGACCTACTTTGGGTTCTCCTGGCTCTTAGGTAACTCTGTCTTAATTAGAGTATTTTTCATAATAGAACAGCCCGGTAGGACGATTGTCAAACTTTCCCCTCCTTGATTAGATGGTTTGAAGCCAAAGTCCCTCTTTCACCATCCAGATGTAAATATTTAGCAGCTAAGATGGCTTAAAGCTGGTGGCCCGGGTCAACTATCCGGCTCAATCATAGTGGTCAATCATCCACCGTCTAGCCCTTTCTCAGTCTTTCTCATGGCTATTTTACACACTGCATATCCAAAGCTGACTTAAAGGGCCTATATTACACAAAATTGACTCTTGTGAGCTTTTAGCCCTGTTAGAATGCTGTTACATCATCAGAAACATACCTGGAGTTGTGTTGTGTTTCATTCACACGTGTTTGAGTAACCTTTATTATCAGTCTACCTATATCTTCAAAGCTGAAAATGCTCTATTCCACCTTGTGATGTCATGAAGCAGTAGTTTTCAAGTCAACAGCTACATTTTACCTTTTGATCAGTTGAAACTGGCAAATCCAGGACTGAAATCACCCAATTATTCTAGTGTTTTATATTTGAGATAAGAACTTAGCCAAAATATGCAGGATTTGTGTGTTAAACATGTGTGAATGAAACAAAAACTCAACTCCAGGTATGTTTGTGATGAGAAAACAAGATTATAACACAGATAGAAAATAGCGTAGTATGAGCCCTTTAAACCGGGCATCTAGGTTTACATGGAGCAGTGATGAATTGTTGGGCTTCTCAAATAAGTCCCTCCAAACGCCACATCTGTTGTTTATGAGTTGTCAACACATCCATGCACGGGCAGACATCCATCAGACAGACACTGCCAAGGAGAATTTCTACAGCCTAGTAGTAAACATGTCATAAAGATCTAGACCGCTAGCGAGTAACTGCCCCCTAAAATCAGCTCATTGTGTTCCGGATGGCTTTTAACAATCCAATATTACGCAAAATTGAATCTTGTGAGCTTTAAGTCGTGTTATTACGCTGTTACCACATCAAAAACATATCTGGTGTTGTGTTTTGTTTCATTCACACATGTTTGAGTAACACTTTTTTTTATTAGTCTGACTGAATCTTTAAACTCAATATGCTCTGTTCCACACTGTGATGTCATGAAGCAGTAATTTCCAAGTTATAGCAGCTATATTTTATCTTTATTTCAGTAGAGATTGGCAATTCCAGGGCTGAAATTATCCAAATTATTCTAGTGAAAGTGAGTGGAGGTTAAAAACACAGGGAAGCGCAGGATGTATCACCACATCACATCATAAGGTGGAGTGTTTTCCGTTTTTTTGAGAGAAAAACTCATCCTAAATATGCAGGATTTGTGAGCTACATGTGTGAATGAAACAAAACACAACTCCAGGTATGTTTATGCTGAGGAAACATTATAGCATAGATTAGAAAATCGCGTAATACAGCCTCGTTCAATTTGATATAAATGGAAAATTACAAGAGGTGGTTTGAAGTTATGGGAATCACAGCATTTTTGACAGTGAAGAAGTGGCTGCCTTAGTGATTGAGCATCTGTCTATACAAAATCACAACCACATGTTAACAACAGTATGATCGTAAGCAAGTAGCCTAAAGTTCACCAAATAAACGCAACAAAAATGGCAACGAAAAGTCAGTATTTGCTCTCGTGGGACGTGTGGCACCCGTCCTTTGACACGTTTACTCGCTTGCAAACACGCACACAGCAAGATAACGGCTGGTAACGGGAAAACAAGCTTTATCAGGGAACTGTGAAGTCTACCTGGAGTTGTCAGCGTTTAAGTGAGATGAAGGCATATGCTGACTATTCATGTATATCAGAACTGTGCAAAATAAAGAGCGTTTCTATAGCGATTAACAATTTAAGACAAAAAATATCATTTCCTTTGAATGAGAAAGTCATCATAATGTTGCAGTAAGTTCAAAGCTATGAATACGTCAAAGTGCCCGGTTTATTTTGTGAGTCAGTATTTGCATTTCGCTAAACTACATGGAAAAAGCAGTATTTCTCGTGACTGTACTTTAGGGCAAGTAAACAGAAACGCACGCACATTTCACGTCACCGGCCACGCTAAACTTTACCAAAATGCTCCCAAAAACATGTCCACGTGTAGAAAATCAATACTAACCTGTTTTCGTCCCGTCATCCACTGAAACTCCCGTGAAATCCCGTAAAGATCTGAAGCTCCTCTCTCTCTGTGACAGACGCCGGGACCGTGCGTAAAAAGCGTCTATCCGCACGGTTACGCTGTGAGCTGTCCGCTGGCTGATGGCACACTGAAGAGAGACGCACGGCTGCAGCGGGGTAAAAGAGACACAGCGGAGGGGGGTGGGCAGGTACACTACAGCAGAACCGAGGCAGAGGCAAAGGCAGACTGTGTAAACTGATTTTCTCCACCGCTACCAGCAGGGGGTGTGGGACGGGCCGCGCACTGGAGGAGGGACGGACAGACACGTGTGGAGTCAAGAGTTTATTTGTGCTGAGTAACAGTTTCAGCCCGGTATAAATGTTTACTGAGAGGAAGTGGCGCTATCACGTGATGTTTGTCAGATGTGTTAATGGGTGTTATGAAATTGTAAAGCGTTATTGTGAGTTATTACCGTGACATCAATCAATCAATCACTCCAGTTCTATTATTAGATTATTGTCACACACATATTACGTATGTTTAGAAGTGCCTATACTTACTTGCATAATCTTTAAAGGTAGACTATATATATAAAATAATAATAATAATAATGACACATCTTAATGGAAAAAGATAATTTTAGGAATTGCACACACTTCAATGAATCGTATTGTTCTGACTATATGCTATAAGAAAACCAATTGTCTTGAAATCAACAGCCTGCTAGACTATTTTTATTTATGTATTTTTTATTTATTCAATGTTTTACCAGGTAAGTCAGTTGAGAATGCAATGATGACCTGGCCAAGAGGCAGAATAAAACAGAAGCATAAACAGAAAACACTCACACAGCAAACATAACATGACACAGTGAATAGAAATGTAACACAGAGGTACATTTGCAGATTACAGATATAAAAGTGTTAAAAGCATCTGCAATGATCTTGTAAAATAGTCTAGATGGAGTTTTTAGAAGTAGACAGAGGTAAAAACTACGAACTAAGTTTGTTGAAGGTGGTTCCTGTTAAAGTGACTGCAGTTACATGCACACACACTAAATCTGTTATACGTTATAAAATTATAATACAATTACATGTAAACAGTAAAATCATCTAATTTCTTTATGATCATGCCCCCCCTGAACAGTCACATTAGACTTTATTATTATTAAATGTCCAGAAATCAGATAGGCCTAATTCTCAGATTTTGATGTCCATGTGAACATACATATAAATGACTATTAGTTAATATTGGAAATAAGTAATAAACTGAAGAATGATCATTTGCATTCATTACTGTGACTTTAATTTAGAAGTAAGATAGTCTGGGGGAACCTGTTTTATTGAAAAGGGGAAATCCTCAATCTCATATCACATGTAGAAAATCTAAATTAATAATGGATTCTCTACAGACTCCACTAATCCATTGATGAATTAGCTCTCTGTGATTGATGAGATAAACAGAGACTAATCCAGGATTGATTAGGTGGCCCTTCTCCTCTAATTTCATTGACATGCACTTCACACCTGAGTGATTTTCTCATTCACTGTTTGAGTTCATCTGTAGTCATCTAACTGAACTCAAGAGTGTTTTCATTCTTATGCAAATGATACATGTGATGTCTCGTCTTGTATTGCATTGCATAATATTGGTTTCTATGTGAGGAAATGAGGCGTGCAATGTTGTAGTGAAGTGTAGTTGATCTGAATCCTAATTAACAAAGAAAATTGAATTATACAGTATTCACCAGCAGATCTAAATTGATTGATTATGAGTTTGATTTGAGTATTTTAGGCACCTATTTTTTACTGCAGCAATAATCAAGTTTCTATAGGGAATAACACACTTCCACAATACTACTAATGCAACTTAAAGGTGCACTGCGCAACTTTTCTGGTGGAGGATCTGCTACCCACTTATCTTGATGGAGAACTTTAACTGGAATGTTCCATGGAATGACATTAAACATAACAATTTTGCATTTATTCATTACGGGTGCTCCTATTGCTCAAAAATACAATAATTCTCTCTGTGTATAGGGTCGACTCTCCACAGATCTGAACAGTAACATTATAGATAGGTTTAATCTATATTGTGGAACATTCTAACTTAAACAATAATATTTCCATGGAGATAAGCAAGTGGTGGACCCTTTACGAGAAATGTTACACGGTGCACCTTTAAACATGATACAACAAGGCAAAAATTATTTTATTTAATTTAGTCAACTAGCATTCAGAGATTTATATGAGACATTTTAACCGGGTGTTTTCCAAAGGACAGAAATTTCCAGTCTTGTACTTAATTTTTTCCTTCAATACACGCTACTAGGTTTCAAAAGCAAAGTAATACATCTTCTCATCTCCCATGTTTTGGACAAACTCGTGCCATTTGGGAATCGCTCAAGCAGCACTGAGTACCTTATAATGATGTTTGCGCAGTTGGAATCTTGAGAGTAATATGGGTTAGATAACAAGTCCTGAAGACAGTGGGGTAAACATTTTCCGAGTAAGAAAGAGCAATACATGATTTTGATGGATAATAAAACTAAACAATGCAAAGAAAGTAGGTGCAGTTACTAAGCCACTGCCAGATACTTTTTTGTGTTTGATTCCATTACTTGTTCACTGGTTCTGACTATAAACACACTCCTTTTTGGTCCACTAAAGGAGTGTGTTTATGGTCACAGAGGATAGTAGCATATAGGAGTGAATTTGGAGCAGAGTTCCATATGAGGAATAGGAATTTATTTTAATGACAAAATAGCAAAATAAAAACATCAGGATAATGTAGAGCAGGTTGAAGGGACAGTTGGGAATTTTGGACCTAGGGCCTCATTTTCTAGTGAGCCAGAGTGTTGGAAACGTGTGGAGACATTTTTTACATATTCCAACCAGTCCTTGTATTTGCAGAGGTCACTGGTGCTAGGCTAGCACATGTCAATGGCCATAGTTAGCCTGCCACTAAAAACAATCTTATCTAATCCGCAAAGCACCCAAGGCAAAACAGTTATAACACCAGACTGTCGATGTGAATGTCTGTGTCTATACGATAATTTTAGAAGTAAAACTAACCTTGCATTTGAAGGATTTATGCCTGAGCAGCAGCTAGCTGTAGTTCCTGATAGAAAGCTTGGCAGCAGCAAACTGATATATGAGAAAATAGTCCCTCGACATGTGACGATTCATGCGATGCAAGGTTAGTTTTATTTCAAACATTATTCTATCAACACAGACATTCACATCGACAGTCTGGCGTAATAATAGATTTGCTTCGGGTGTTTTGTGGAGTGGGTAAGACTGTTTTTAGTGGCAGGATAACTATGGCCATTGACATGCACTAGCCTAGCACCAGTGACCTCTGCAAATACAAGGACTGGATGGAATATTTTAAAAAGTGTCTCCGCACATCTCCAACACTATGGCTCACTATGTCCAAAATCCAAACTGTCCCTTTAATATGAACATTTTAAGACCAAAATGACAAAACTCGCTGCAGCATTTACAGAAAAAGGGGTGACAATTTTTCAATGTAAAGTCAATTGAAGCCAGAGTCGATGGAGCCAGAAGTGCCCCTATGCTTACTTTCTATTCTGGACATGGCAGTTAACTATGTGGTTAACTATGTCCATTTATACACACGGTCTATGGTTGTGACCCTCTCTGCTTGTGTGTTTACCCTGCTCACCTCTGCGTCGTAAAGCCTGAGTGCACGGAGGCAGGCAGAGGAAAACAGAGGAGAAGAGGGGAGCTAGGGGGAGATAGAGCGGAGATCTCCACACACCTGTTTCTCATTCTCGAACTCATCGCGCCTGACAGCCCAGAGAGGAGAGTGAGGAAGGCCAGCGCAGAACGGAGAGAGCAGAGCCACTGGAAATATGTGAGCCAGATTTAAACAGGCCCTAAAAGAGTGCTGTGCTGTAGAGGATCACATGCACCATACATCACCACGCTTGTATGTCCATGTCAAAGGTTGGCCTTGAACAACACATAAATGCAATACTTATGGTACTTATATGTATTATTTTGACATATACATCACATGATATCCTAATAGTAAAGATGTATCTCATCGCTCTGTAAAGCTTCTCAGTATGTAGTAAAAACTTTTAAAGGTGCACTTTGTAACTTCTGGTGGAGGGTCTGTCACTTGCTTCTCTCCATGGAAGTGTTGCCTGGGATGTTCCACAGTGTGGCATTACACTTATTCATTTATACAGAAACAGCAGTTGATGCCACAGGGCCAAGTTACGTGTCAGATCATCGAACAGCCCCCACAGTGGAGTGTTTTAAGTCTCGTTTTAAGACCCAGTTTTACTCTCTGACTTTTAACACTGCGTGAGCTGTGTGGTCCTCTGTGTCTTTAATTTTATTTATTTATTTTATTCTTTTATGCTTTATGCATTTTAACACTTTTTATTTATTGTTTTTATTGATGATGTACTCTTTTATTGTATTCATTTGTCTGTGCAGCACTTTTGAAACCATCTAAAATTGGACGGATTGGATCAGATTTATGGAGAGGCAAACCCACTCACAGTAAGAATGCAAGGTTTTAGGACATGATAGAAAGGTTTAATGCTTTACCAGAACATTCCAGACGAAGCAATAACATCTCCATAGAGACAAGCAGGTGGTTAGCCCTACACCAGGAATGTGACACAGTGCACTTTCTTATCTCAATTGACTGATGATGTAAGCTGTTGTAACAATAGATTTTGACCTAATTGATTTAGGATTTAAATCTAAACTACTTTTTCTCTCCAATTTATGTCTCTCTTTTTTAATTTTAATCTTCATTATTATTTATGTTTTGATTAGTTTTTATTATGATTTTAATGTATTTCTTATTCTGTAATGCACTTTGAATTACTTTGTGTACGAATTGTGCTATACAAATAAACTTGCCTTGCCTTGCCTACTTAAAGTGGAAGTAAATACTAAATCTTTTTTGTTGTTACTGAACTGGGTATATGGTAGTTTAATAGCATTGTCTACAGTTCTTAGTGCTTTTTTTTTTTTTTTTTTTTTTTTTTGCAATTTTAGTGACTAAAAGACAAATTACCAGCTTTCTGTTCCAAAACTACTGCGGTTATTGCGATTTCAAGTACTACGTGACATCACACATGACTGCCCTGATTACAGCTAGGTGTTTCTGATTCCAATCCAATACCAATACCAATCTTTTCTTTAGTCCCTCATGTACTTCCTAAATTAACAGCTTGATTTTCCATTTTTCAGATTCAGATTTTCCAGTTTGTGGACGGTGTAGGTGTTCAGTTCCA